ACAGCAAATGGGCCTATCGTTAACGTGAGATGAACTTGACGACAACATGAACTGTCAGTTCAGTTTACACTATCACGAACTCTCATGAGCGTGAAATTTGTTTTGTTTTGTGTAAACGTATAAAATGCTTGTGTGTAGTAGTGCAGAGCACAGAAATTGAGAGTATTCAGTATTAAAAGGTATTCATAAACATAACATTGCATATGTATGCGTGTCAAGCTGAAAAAACGCAGCAAATTTCATTGCCTGAAATTCATGAACTCACTTCACACTCTCTTCCCTCTCTCATCTATAAATAACCGGTTTTCAAGTTCATGTTTATGATAGTGTAAATCGGGCCAATAAATAAAATATGATAGAAAAATAAATACCAAATAAAAGTGCTACCTAATTGTACTAAAAACACGGAGTTGTCTATTTAGACATTCAAATTTAAAAAACTGGGATGTAATTATGAGATAAATGAGGTTTATTTAAAAATTTAGTCGGATCCAAGTGAAATTCAATTGGTGAAAAGAGCAAAAATATATATAAAGTCGGCGGATAGATAAAGATCTAAAAATGTTTATTTAATAAAATATTTGAAAAAACATTTACTAAAAGAGGTTTTGAAGGTTTTAAAGAATTTTCCCAGAGTCGTTTCCTTCGGCATCTCTTAGTTAATATTGAAAATGGATACTTCTTAAAGTGATTTTAGAAAGGATTTTAGATTATCAGGTGTAGTAAAGAAAAGGATCGAAAAAAAAAATATATGTTTAAGATGTCTTCAGGTTTAAACAAAAAAAAAATCAAAAATATCAAGTGTTAAATGTATATCCGGGATACCATACATATGTGCATTCTATCTTCTTCTATGGCCTGTAATCGAAATCATAAATAATGCATTAGTTAATATAAAAATTATCCGCTGTTTTTTATCATTGGATGGTATTGTTATCATCTCGCTCAATTGCATATTATATTTAGATCTTAAAAATAATCTTCCCAGTAAAATATAGTGTTCAATATTTCTCTGCGTTATAAAGACTTGGACGCGAAAAATGTAATAATAATAGCAGTCTGGAGGCTTTCGATACGTAGATATATATTATAATCGTCATAATTCGATAGGTTCATCATGTTTCAAAAAAAAAGGGGCGACGTTGATTTAATTAAAACAGGCAAGTTCTTAAAAAGATCAAATATTTAATATGACATTTCTCGGTCATATATTCAAAAATCAAATTAACATTTTAAACTATATTTTTTGTAAAAGTAGTTGTCTAATTCGTTGTGCGAATAAGAAGTTATATTGATTTAAAATAAAATACAGATTTTAGATAGATTTTGTACTTATGAAGAAAGTATAATAAATACATCGCTTCTATAACTATGGCAAATGATATATTCTTAGTTGCATTATGTACATTCACTCACAATATAACAAAGGTGTAGATTAGGCAAAGTCATAAAAACGTTTAATAAGATAAGTTGACCAATATAAATCTTTCTTAGGGCCATGTTATGCAGAGTGTCTCGGGGACGGCATGAGTACAATTGGTGTTGTTTTCAATGCAAATTTTAAATTTGAGAATGAGAGAAAAAACAATATGGCCGAAATAATAAGGTAAAATAGTATTGCTTAGTAATAAATTTCAAAATTTGCGCCTTTTAGGAGCAAATTACTACAATTCTAATACGTTTTGGAGAAAAAATGGCAGTAGGCAATACAGCTTTTTATTTTTTTTTATAAATCGCTAATGAATTAATTATAACACCTTTCAATTTTAAAGAAACGTGTAAGTTCTGTTAAGTACTGTTAACAATTATTATAAGATAATATAATAATCAATTAACATTATTACAGTCTCTATGAGTTTTTTCTTGCGAGTTATTTTTGGTGGCAAATTAAAAGTGAGCATATCTAAATTTCCTTTTAAATTTAGGCACAACCTAAAAGTATCGAAACATTGTAAAAATAAGAAATTGGCAATACTGATGTGACACTCTGAATAACATGTATTTTCGGCATAGCCCTAAAGAGCGAATTTTGCCGTGCCCGAGACACTGTGCATAACATGGCCCTTGATCGAGTTGGCGTAGTCGTCGGCGAATAAACCACGAGCTGTACGAGCTTTATCACGACATTGATAGTTATAGATGGATGGATGTAGTTGTAGGAAGAACACGTAGTAGTAAACCGTGTCTCCGGTGGAGTGATTAAGTTGAGAGAGCACTAACTGGACGTTTTGTATGAGACTAGAGAAGGCACGCAGCAGAGAGATATGTTGTGTTAGGCCGAAACCCGGTAATGGCTTGTTATGGCCAAATAAGAAGAAGAGGGTGGAATATAAATATAATAAATTATATTTATATTTTATTATATTATAAATATAATAATAAATATTCTAAAAAATTAATAAATATATAATAATACGAGAAATAGAATTTCTTCAAATTGTCTCCAAAACAACAATTTAATGATTTATTATTGCACTATAATCGATACATAAAGGTGCTCTCTTTTCAACAGTTTGCAGTCTACCTGACATAGGAATAAGTGCCAATAGTAGCTTACAATATAGATTCAAAAATATGTTTAAGCAACTTACCATTTCCGGCAACAATTGCTGCAATGCGTTCTTTGACAGATCTTTTCGGCTCATAGGCAACATCATTATTGTTGTCGTTGATACCGTTTGTGTTGCTGTTATTGTGCAACATATTATCAAAAATTTCTGTTTGTTGCAACATTGTGCTCGGTCGTTCAGTATTTGTTGCAACTGCTGTTGCAATTGTTGTTGTTGCTGGTATTGCAGTCTCTTGAAGAGGACTTCTTTTTACCATTGTTGTTTTGATCACAGTTGTTCGAGAAGGCGTTAAATGATGTGGAAAATTAGGTGATGTTGGTGTTGTTGGCAGAGATGTTGATACTGTCGATGTTGTTGGAGTAGTTGCTGTTATTGTTGCCGTTGTTGTCAACCCACACTCACTACGTTTACGATGTGCTACATTCGTTGTCGTAATTGTCATTTTATGCTGCGTCGTATCGTCAATTTTAGCTTTGTTGCTATCGCTATTGCTGCTGCTGTTGCTGTTACTGTTGCTATTGCAGTTGCAGTTACTGCTGCAATTGTTTTCGAAAATACCGTTGCTATTCGTTTTGTGATAAGTTTTAAGCGTTTTTATTTGACAATAATTACAGCAACTTTTATTAAAACAATTGTTATGTTCTGTTGTTGCAGCTCTTGTTGCTATTGTTTTGGTTGAGCTGCTAATACAATTACTGCAATTTCCGTTGCAGTTGCTTATATTATTTTCCTTATTATTAACACTAAATTCACTATTGCTTAGTCTTTGGATTTGTTGATTGCTATGATCGTTACGATATTCGCTTTGATTGTCGTTTTTGTTGCCCTTGTCACCGTTAATTTGATTGTGTTGCTGTTGATAATGTTGCTGATCTTGCTGTGGTAGTCGTTCACTTTTTGTTAATCTCGCTTCGGTTGCGGCATCAGTGGTTGCAGCAACAAAGTCGTCATTAACACTTTGGTTTGGTATTGTGACAGAGCAATTTTTTTCAAAATTTTTCGTTGAATTTATTGTTGCTGCAATTTTATTTGCAATCTGCAATTTTTCTTGATTTACTTCTGTTATGCACTGTTCGTCATTAAAGCAGCTACAACTGTTGCAATTGTCAATCTGTTTCAGATAATGACAATTTTTGTCATGCCGCCATTGTGAACTTGCGTCGCTATCCTGCCTTTGCTGTTGCCGTTGCTGATGCTGCAACTGCAATTGTTGTTCTGTTTGTTGGTGCGGTTGAATTCCAATGCCGTTCATTACATTCACAACATAGTTTTCAGTATCACTGGGGATATCAATGATATCATCATAGTCACTGTAACTTTCTTCGTAATTTGCTATTGTCGTTGGAATTGTATTTGTAGTTGTTGCTGTTGATGTTGTTGTTGGTGTTAGTGGAACTTGGATTGTTGGTGCAGCTGTAGTTGTTAGATCTGAATCGTTGTAGGTTGCAAAGGTGTCACCAATTCTTTTGTATTTAACTGTTGGTCTTTTGTTGTTTGAGATAGCGCTTGAGGATATAGGTGTTTGGTTGTTGTTGCTTTTGTAATTTTCATGGGAAACATCATCAATATAATTAAATTCGTTATCGATAAAAATATTTCTAGCATGCAGTGTAGACTTTTTTGGCTGTTTTAGATTATAACGCCTGCGATTGGGACAACAACAAAATTTTGTAGCCTTTGGCGAAGTTGGTGATATAGGAGGAAGTATTGTTGGTATTGTTGCAGCGTCAGACCATTTCTCTAGTAATGTTAAATCACGAGCATTTGACATTGTCGTATAGCCATGGAGAATGATTCTAAAATAAAAAATTTTTTATTAAATAAATATTATATGTGATTACAATTTTTTTAGGTAATTGAGTAAAAATTAAGTTCTTAGTATAAAGCTAAAGCTCAACGAGTAGTTAACAACATGCATAAGCTTTTAACATGCTTTTCGGTAGCATGTAAATGCTTCAACAGCATTCTTTCTGCATAGGAAAGTGTCAACATGGATTTTGCTTCAACAGAAAAATTACAAATTAATAAAATTTTTCACCACTTTTCAACAGGAGTGGACAACTTTTCACCATAGCAAATGTAATGGAAAGCTTTGTATTTGTGGTAGTGGAAAAAAGTTTCCGGATTTGAAATGAAAGCAAATTTGTTGCGCATGTCAGGTGGTGCAGCATATCAGCGCCATCTGAGTGTCAGGCCAGTGACATAAAAAGCAATTCAGAAGTTATTTTTGCAGTTAAACAGGAAACTGGGCAGAAATTTTTTTGTATATAATCTTATAGATGTGAACTAAAAACAGTTCGCAATAAATTAAAAACAAAAACAGGAATTTTGCCGACATTGAAAAATATTTCAATGAAAAACATCGATGCGTGATGTAGTGCTTGAAAAACTATTCAATAGCGGCCTAATTTATTTAATTGCAATTCGAAATAACTGAAGAAAAAGTGGAGATACCAAATACAAACGTTTGTAGGAAGAAAAGTTCATTTATATAATTACTTATAAGGTTTGAAAAGTAGAATTCCAATAAAAAGAGCTGCAAATTGATTAGGAAGTAGTAAATATATATTTATTTCACCAAATGAATATTGCATTAAATATTAATTAAATTTTAAATTAATATTTTCAGCTCCTCAGTTCCTTTGTCAATAACAATTGAAAAAATTAGACTAGCTATAAAGTATTTAACAAATAATACAGCATACCGGATGGATTAAATGCCTGCAAATATTTCTAAATTGATTTGTAAAAATTATCTGAAATTGTTCAGGTAGGCTTTTAAATATATCTATGGTACAAGACAGCTCATATGAGATTGCCTAAAATCTGTTTTCAGAATATTACGAAAGAAAGATTAAATCAAATCATGTAATACATAATGATTGATTAGTCTGATGAACAATTCGCTTTAATTTTTTTTTAAATAATTGACAACTAAATACATAAAAAGTTTGAGCAGTTCATGGACTGCCTTAATTTGGTTTCGAAACTGTGCAGATATATACCTATAAGGACATCTTATTACCAATAGTATACCAAAAGTTTTTCGTGTTCTTGCAAAAGTGGTAGAAATACATATATAATCCTTTTTACAAACAAATCGTAGAGATTGGAGTAAATAATGATTATACAATTAAAATCAAGGTTTTGGAGGGAGTCAGATATGAGTGTGTGAAACGATGGGAAACATGCCCAAATTTAAATATCTTAGATATATAAAAGAGAGAGTGTGAGTGAGAGAGAGGAGGTTAGGAAGAGAGGGAGAGAGTGAGTAAAAGAGAAGAAGATAGGAAGAGAGCGAGAGAGAGAGAGAGAGGGGGATAGAGAGTGAAAGAAAAAGAGAGAGTGGGACAGAGAGAGTGAGAGAGAGCATGAGCAATAATCATGCACAAGAAATCATAATCCAAGGATATCAATTCTGTTCTCGTAAATGCTGGGTAGCAACAGATGGCATGTTCTGAGTTGTTGACATTCTCAAGACATGATTTTTATGTTGGATCTGTGATGATACTCACAGTAGCCATCTAGTGTCCCCTTGTATTATGCCACGGTATGACTTTGATCAGTATTCTGGAGTCCTTTCTGTTTAATTGTATAAAAATTTTTACCAGCCTATTGCCAGGTTGTTTTAAAAAGCACTTTGTGCTGCTTTTTTTTTAGACTACTCTCTTTTGTGAAAAAAAGAATTGTTCCAACGAAAAAATACTGTCGAGTTAAGTTGACAACTGGTTCTGGCTATGTACGTGTTCTAGAAGAGCCATATATACTTTAGTTATCAGCCAATTCATGAGCTAGGACGCCACAGCGACTAGAAATCCATAGACGTAGTTTGTCAAATTTTTTTTACTATATCCTTTAATTTTATCTAACATTCATCGATCATCTTTAAAGATCTCGAAGTGTTTATGGTAGACTGTTTACCTTATGTTTTATATTTCTGATTAAATATTATTCTTGAACTTAATAAAAGTGTAATATGTACTCAAATTAATAAAGAAACAATTAAAAACTACTTATTAATTTCAGAGAAACAATTTTCGAAAAGTACTGGAATAACTAATTTAAGTGGTATGAAATGTCAACCATTTTCTAATCAACTAATAAAACTTAATGTACATACGTATATCATAAAAAATATAAATATATTGTGAAAATCGGGCATAGCTACCTAATTGATTATCTTATGAATATAGCATTTTGTAACTGCATAACCCTAAAGAGCAAACTTGAATAAATATTAAAAAATAATGAAATATTATTACTTAATGGAATATACTCATTATTCGTAACATAGAAGCTGTATTCGTAAATCTATTACGAGTACTCAGCCAAAAACTGGTCTCTCATATGGCAGAAATTGTAATATAAGGCCCAGAGGGCATTTGACAACAGGTAGCATAAGTGGCAGCAACATATCAGTAAGGCTAATAGCGAATAAAGAGTGTTGCCATAACAAAAAAAATTAAATAAATAAATAAATAAATATAAAACACAAACAACAGCTGCTTCACAGGCAATTGCTTTTAAGTGATTAATTCGTTTTGGCCAGCAGGAAAATTAATTTGCGGAGAAAGAAGTTTTTCAACGCGCTTTTACTAGATATCGCCTTTGCAACGTAACACGGTAGTTAAACAATTTTTATGTGCTTTTTCATTGTAATTACAATATTTGTTGTTGTTGTTAGTCTCTTTCTCTCTCTGGGCATATATCACATAATGAAAATATAAATTATTTGAAAGTAACTAAAATGTAGGCGTTTGTAAAAAATCTCTTATTCAAATTGTTCAATAGTTTGCCAGGAAATATTCACATATCTGTTATATTAACAAAGTCTTCGACGGATGGTTGAATCCATGTAGCACATTTCTTATTTAATTGTATTTTTCTACCTAATGTATGTAGAACTTCTGATTTAATCAATAAAGAAAGAACTAAATAACTAACTAAAATTTTTCGAGTATTGTCAGCTTTTTGGACCTTATAGACTAGAAGAAGCTATCTTTTACTTTATTGCTTATAATCTAACTTAGAAGTTAAGATTGTTGAATGAGAGATACTTCAATCGTTTTAGTAATTTTACTTATGCCTTACTCTAGGAAGTTTAGAATCTATTATAGAGGTCTCATCGATTAATACATAAACACCTGTACTGTTGCTGTTTCATGTAGGAAGTTGCTGTAGGTTGCTTCATATGTATAGAGGTGGAAACTTGAATCTATTTCTTTCAGTAAATTCTCCCTAAAAAGATACTCAAGTATATGAAAAAATAATTAGTTCTGTGAATTATGTAAAATGAAAGTATGCCTAAGAATTGTATCAACCAAAGACTTAATATTTAGATAATATATATATTAAAATTATTTTAAAACAAATTTTTTGATTCAAAATATTAAATTGAATATACTGAGAGTTATTAAAATATTTTATAGAAAAATATTAATGTTGATTAGGAAAGACTTGTAAATAAAATAATAATAAAAAAAGTTTTGATTTAAATCAATTAATCAAATTGCACCCATTTTTTGAAAAAATAAAAGAAGAAATGTATTTTATATTTGATCGATTAGTGTATTTAACATACTTAAAAGTGCTTAAGAAGTTTACAAACAACTTGAGAAGGAGGTTAAACAATCAATCAAATTCATATGAAATACGTGAATTGCATTTATAGAAGTAATTTCATTCATTGATTGTTCTGAAGAAATCAAAACCCCAAATGCTCGAATTTATAAAAGAAAATATTTATTTTGTAAGATTATGTTGAGCATTTTAAGTAGAATTTTTAATACATAAAAGCAATATTCGATACGCAATGCATTAATCGATAACAAATCAGTGTCACGCCATTAACATTTTTATGTGACAAATTTTCTACTTTGTCTTAAATTGTTTAATAAAAGTCTAAGAAATGTGTTTAATTAACAAACAACACTAGATATGAAAAACAAAAAAAAAAAATAAATAAGTAATAGCTGATCTACCAATTTCGAATTGATAACATTTATTAAAAATACATTTAATATATAAGCAAAATGAAAACTGAACATCGACATGATTAAAACAACGTAGTGAACGTTTCAAAATTGGTTGAATTCGGCTAGCAATAAATACAAAAGAATTTTTTATATTTGAAAATACCAGAGCTACGTGAATCAAAAAGGGAAGAGCGGAAATCTTTTTTTATAAGGCATACAAAAATCATCTTTCATATAAAAATATATAAAAATTCAATCCGATATTTAGTTAGTTCTTCAAACTTCTTGATTCCTTCTAGATATCAGCTATGGACATAAGACACAGTGGGCAATGAACGCTTTTTTAATTAAATTATTTTATTGAATCTCAAATTTGTATAAATAGTTTAATTTCTGGAAACAAATCAAAAATATATATGAAAAAATTAAAAATACATTTTTTCATTTTTAAAAAATGGTTTCATCTTCAGTATCTTTTATGATTTAATAATTTGTTAATTTTATTGCATCGAAAACAATATAATATCTTCAGTAAAAACTCCTTGGGTAAGATTTATTTATTCAAGTGTCACGTTAATATATAACATTTTCAATATTTATTAACTTTATTTCTCTTCGAAAAATAGTTACTTGTCAGTTATATCAGTTATATCGATTATGATGTGAAATAAATCAAATTGCTTGTTGAATATAAATTTTTCAGTTAACGATCGAATTTATATAATTTTATGGAGTTTTTGTTCCAATTCCAGATATACAATAAATTATGTGCTGATTGCCATTTTAAATTTATGCATTTTTTATTATTTCCCCAAAATTTC